CAAGCTGAAAATGGATGCCACTGCATGTCAGGCACACCTGGGAGTGGTCTGGGAAGAGAGTGGCAAGGGAAAATCTTCCCTTAATGGGTACAGCTTTGAGCACCTGGCCTGGGGTCAGAATGGGGTAGCTAGCTGGTCAGGGGCCAGGGAGAGACAGGACTAGAAGAGGCTCCCAAATGAACAAAGTCTTGTCCAAGGGCACACAGAGTGCTTCTGAGAGAAGCGGGTGGGGAGCAGTTGGTGGATGGAGAGCTGGGGTCCATAATCTCCAATAAATTTTTAACCTCCTTTCCCAACCCAGAGTGATACTGGAGGGAGACTTCCCAAGAAGCTGGCGTAGTTCTACTCCCTTTTGTTTCTCTTTGAGAACACTACCTTGGAAGATATCACTTCTTTTAGGTTCTTTCCCCCAACCCTTTTGTTTTGTTTTGAGACAGTCTATTTCCCAGGCTGGAGTGCAGTGGCACGATTATGGCTCACTGCAGCCTTGACTTATGGGCTCAAGTCGGGGCTCTCCCCCTGTAAAATTGAACTAAACTTCCACTTTGTATTTTGGCACCACAGTGGCCTGTTCTGTTTTAAAAGTTTTGTTTTAAAAGATTAAGAATGGCTTCTGCAAAAATCAAAACTAATTTAAACTGTGTTGTTGCTAATTCCCCTCAGCTTGAAAACTATGGTTTCTACTGTCCCGGGGTATGAGGAGGTCGATGTGCAAAGCTGTGGGAAGGCCATGGGAAGTGAGTGATGGAAGCCAGAGGTTTCCTGGGCCCAGACAGCTGTCCTGTGCAATATCTTCTAATCCAACAGAGAAGAAACACAATGACCTGGTAGAATACTTGCTATTATATTTATTTTTCTCTTTTAGCTATTTACAAAATTTTATTTCAGTATATTTTTCAGAAGCATAATTTTATGTTTCTTCATATTTTACTTTGTTAAAGTCCGGACCAGTCAAGGTCTTTTTCATGCAAAGATGTACATTTAATGAGGACAAAGAAGCCACCTAGTCACCTCGTGAAGCTCTGCTGCTTTGTGCCCCTTTTTTGGTCAGGTCATCCAGAACACCCAGGTCTTGGTCCTTCTCCTCTTTTCTTGGTTTTCACTGCCTGGGCCCAGCATCACTTCTGAAGACCTGCATGTGTTTGATTTTACTGTATTTAATCTGCTTCACAGAATGTTACCGACTTGGCTGACCTCTGAAGAATCCCCCAGTACTGCCCTATGTCGGGCACTACAGCCAGTTGTGCTAAATTCGGGCACCTTTAGCTCTGCTGATGATTACTGATCCTGGGCATGCAGTCCGTCCGGCAAGATAGTGAGTGCAAAGTCTCACACAAATTGAGTCAATAGAAGTGACCCTGAACAACTGGGCTATTTCATAATTTATCAAAGAGAAACTTTAACACCCTCCCCTGAAAACCCAACACTGATAATACAGATTTTATATTGATCACAGGACACTACACAACAAACACAAACACACTACACTTTTAGTAGGACGAGTCACGATTTCCTTTGATGTTGGGCTATGGAATCGCTAGAAAGTTACTGCTCATCACCACAGCAGGGTACCATGCGAGTGGATAGTTTAATAAATGCATTCATTAGTTAATAGCTTTAAGGGTTAGCTATTATATATATGGAATGAGGAAACCTCATTAGGAATGGCCATAGTCTCAGCAAAGCTCAGCTCTAAATATGCAAAGACTTTGCAGCCCTGCTATTAACAAGATGACATGAATTGTAAGAATACATTTGACAAGCTCTATTAAGACCCACCAGATCATCCATGACCTGTGCAAAGGCACCTAACAGCGGCAGATGGAACTGGCAAGAACTTGGTAGGAAATGTGTCACACATCCCTACAACAAAATGACACTTCAGAAGACAGACAGGGGTATCCTTCCCATGATAGTGGCAAAGAAGGGATCCTCGGGGGCGGGGAGTCGATGAGAAGGAAAGAAATGGAAGGTGGGTAGAAGAGTAAAATAGGGGTTGCTGCATCCCAGATGCTGCCCAAGCTCCAAACTACCAAGCATTCTGCATTTCCAGTTACTTGGTGTGAGGTGACGAGAGGGAGGGGATGGAGGCAGCCAGCTGGATGGGGGATGGGTGACTGCAGGCTGGGGTGGGGCTGGGAAGGGGTTGGGGACAGCTGAGGACTCAAATGACGCAGACGACAGACCACATACAAGACTCAACAAGGGGAGATCTGGCAATGTGCAGGCTAAAATGACCAAATCCGTAGCAAACTCAGAAGGTTCATGTTCCTGAAAGGGTGTCACTGCCAAATCTCCACCTCATTTTGACACTTAACCTACAGAGTATGAGTCGCAGTAGAGTTCAACTGCTCTCATTGCAGCACGTTAGGGCAAGATATTCTTTTTAAGGTATAATATTATATCTAGCTCTATGGATCTATATAGATATTTACAACTGGCCTCGCTGCCCTTCCTCTGTGCTGTGAAGCCTTCATGTGCATTGCTTCCAGACAAATCTTAAAACCCTCCTTTTCTTTCCACTGCTCCAATCTCCCTTTATGGCTTTATCCCAAATGAACTGCTTGCTGCCACAAGGATGAAAGCATCTCCAGGGTCCTGGAGACCCAAATCCACGTCAACCAACCAAGGCTTAGGCTCCAAGAAGCCAGCTTGTCAATAGCCATGTTGGGAGCTTCAGACATGGGGTCACTGCTCTCCCCTCAACCTGAATCTCTATATGGGGTATCCAAAAATAAAGAGGCAATTTTAGCTCTTCCAGTGGTAACTTTCTTGTTTTCAAATGTCATACAAGATTTGTGTGTGTGTATGTGTGTGTGACTGTGCAAGTGTCTATTCTCAATGCCTCTTTCAGCCTCACTCCCCAGCCTGTTACCCCTAAACATGTTCTTCTAGGACAAAGTGAAATGCTCAGTACTTGCAGCTTCTTCCATGGATTGACCACTTCCTACCTCAAGGCACTAGCTCACCACTTCTTAGGACTACATTCACTTCTCAGTCTTCTATCTAGGAGACAGCACAGATGGATGGAGGGACAGGGCAAAGAGTGGAAGGGAACCGGGAGATGCTGCTCCCTGGAACAGGAAGTTGGAAAGAAACAGTCAGTTAAGCAGCCCGGCCAAATAGGGCCCCTCCACCGTATGGGAGCAGGCCAAGGGAATTCTAGTGATTCTAGAAGGGTCACCAACAGGGAATACATATGCTTTCAGGGGTATTTCCTTTCACACCCATCCAAATCAGATAAACATAGATATGCAGACATGCCCTTATATACATGCACTCAGCATAGACCCAGTGTACACAAGCACACACACACACACATACATAAGCCACACTTTTACAGGGATGTGCACACACAGGCATGCATCCACATGTTGTAGATACAATTCTATACACACCAATGTAGATTTACACCACTAGACACAGGACTGTACAGCTTCTCAAATGGTTGTATATGTACACACACCCACCCTGATGCATATGCATACACCCAGGTATATACAGAAACACAAACACAGAAGCACAGTTAAAAGGGTGAGTGGGTAGAGGGCTAAGGGACTGAGGGAGAGACTGCATAGGGAGGAAGAGGTGGCATATGTTGAGTGCTCAGCAAAGTTCACTCCCTCACAACCTCCGTCAGTGAGGTGGAGCTGCTTGGCAAGTTGGAATGCTGGCCAGTCCTACTTCCGTTAGGGGCCCTGCTCAGTGGGCAGAGTGTGTTCTCCACCTGCTCACATCACGTTCATTGGCTTGTCACCAGCCTATTCCTACGCCCCAGGTGCTGTAGGATGTGGTGGGGGCTCTCTGGAGCACCCTCTTTGGGGAGGGAAGAAAAGGGAATTCCTCAGTTGAGAGTCAGGAGAAAAAAGACAAGAAAGAGCAAGTGGGGTGGATCTACCACTCACTGGCTGCACATCCTTAAGCATGCGGCATAAGCTCCATTCATTTTCCTTGGAACACTGGGGACAATATGCTTTGCCTTCCCTGGCTTACAGGGCTCCTGTGAGGCTTCAGTGATGTAATCGGTCAGGGAGCTTGTTGACACTTACTATGCACTAGACAAATAGAAAGGATTAGTATATAGATTTACAATAGATAGTCATCTGCTAGTCTAGATCAGATGGTAAAAGAGCAAGTGTGAATTATCCTAACCTTAGTGTTTATTCACCAAGTGCTGTAACTGGTGATCAACTCAGCAACTGATAGAAAGCTAACTCCTCACTTAGGCAGATGTATTGAATCTCTATTGTCAAGCATTCTGAAGCAGAAATATAGGCAAGACAAGTTCCAATCCCTCCGAAGAGGCCAGCTCAACTGTGTAATTTCCAACCTGACATCATCCCCCACCCTCTGCCAACCTCACAAGCTGGGTATGTGCTCTCTCATCCTGATGTCTCACTCTGCAGCCCCACTCACCCACATTCCCCTCCCACCCTTGCATCTAAACACCACACTCAAATGCAGCAAATACAGTGGGGGAAAGGCACTTACAAATGCTCCCAAAGTGTCCTACAGGCAGTTCCCTGAACTTCCAAGCCATGGTTAGCCCTTTAGCTGTGAACCCCAGCCCAACCCAGCTTGACTTTCTTCTATAAAGCCCTAAGCAGAGGGTGAGCAAGATCCATAATCCCTAGGAGGAAACAAAAAAAGAAGAAAAAATGTAATGAAAAAGAAATGTTGACACCTCAGTGGGGACAGAAAAGCCCCCAGAAACGTTTGTGGGCAAGGCCCAGATCCTTGCCCCATTCCCCAACCTGGCTCTTCTCTGTCCTCTAAACATTTCCAGGGGCTTTTCTATGCTTATTCCTTGTTACAAGTCTTTGAAAAGGTGAGAGTCTTCTAGCTGGAAAGGAAATCCATGTGCTGTTTACCTCCAACTCCTACTCAATCCCTTCCCTTCCAGCTAGAACATGTTCTTTCCAATTACTCCCCACCTCATGTTTATAAAGAGAAGTATGAACTCATTGGATTGCCCAAATAACCACAAAATAAAAGGAACAAAGGAAAGAGGGAAAAACCCAAAAGAAACTGTGAAATGAGCACAGCACAGTGCTCCTGCCCTTCTGGAGCACTGGGGGACTAATACATATGGTATACCCAGTAAACAATGTTGAATAACCCAAAGGCCAGAGGGAAGAGGAACCGGGACCACTTGTCAACCTTAGGGACGTAGTCAGGGTTAAAGAGATCAAAGGAGAACCCTTCAGTGAAGGAGCACCCAGGGCTTGGGGGGCAACTATCCTCAGACTCTGAGCTATTGTCCTTCTCATGGCCATGGGCCATGAGCTCATCCTCATTAAGGCCCCAGGTACTGTTAGTAACACACTTGAGTTGCTCCTCAGCGGCAAGGCAGCCACTCTTGACACTGTTGTCATCAAGGTCCCAGCCTGCTTCTTGCACACCCTTCTTGCCATCGTGAAGCATGGGCTTCCCACTGGGGCCATGACCATGGTGCTCATCTGAGCTCAAGCTCTCATTGGAATCTTCATGGTCATGGGTAACACCACGGCCATGGGCTTCGGCACGGTTGCGGATTTCGGTAGGAATAATACTGTCATCAGCCTGGAAACCATTAAAGCGAACACCATAGCTGTGCCGGGCCTGCTCTGAGGTGGAGGGGAGATCACTCAGGCTTTCTCCAGTGGCCAGGGGGGCCTGGCCTGAGAGAGAAGTGAGTGGGCTGAGGCTTTCCGAGGTGGCCAGCTGGGCCTGCTCGGAGGTGGACGTCAAAGAACCGAGGCTTTCCGGGCTTGCCAGGGGGGCCTGCGCTGGGGTGATGGGGAGAGAGCTGACTCCGTCTTCCACGTTAATCAGGCCATCCTTTGAGGAGATAATGGATAGGCTCATCAGTTTCATATCGCCTAGATGGATATGCACTGGGGGGAGGGAGGAGGGAAGGGACTTCCCTCATCAGCACTTGCAATGTTACTGCTGATCTCTTTGACAGATAGAGCCAGCTCCTTTTGGGGTCTCTGGTGTTCAAGGGGTGAGGAACAGGACCAATCGGCTGTTAGCATGCAAGGGAAGGCTATGGAGGCTGCCAAGCCAGTGTCTCGCTGGGGGCAGCTGCTCTCTCAGGAGTGCTGTGTGGTGGGTGGATGCCTGCTCAGGTAGGCAGGACCGGGCTTTCTGCGAAGGAGGGAGGTAGCTGGGCATTAACATACTGCCCACAGCAAAAGCCTCAGCATTGCCTTGGGAGTCTGAAGTGCCAAGGAAGGAGGGGTAGGTAGGCCAGCCTCTCCGGTGACTGTCTTCCTTTCAGCCTCCCTGTGCCCATCTTCCCTTCCAGCTTCATTGCCTGCTCTGGAAGCATGCAAAGTGGACCAAATTCAGTCCAAAGGTCTGGAGAAATTTAGCTCTGCCACTTACTTGCCTTGTGACCTTGGACAATGATCATCTATAAAAGAGTGATGGGAAATAGTACTACTTCTTATATGTTGTGTGTGTGCTCTGTGTGTGTGTGTGTTTTGCATGTGCGTCCGTGTGTGTGTGCATATTTAAAAAGCTAAGAAATGCAAAAGGGTCAAAAGCGCTAAGCCTGGGCTCAAGAGGTGCTCAGGGAAAGCTGATTGTCAGTCAAAAAGTCAAACCTGCACATTTCCCACCACCACTTGCTGGTAGCGGTAGCGGGCAATGACTCTTCGGGGTCTCCTGCGTCGCCTAGGCTGGCGCCGAGGTCCTCGACTGTAGAAAAGATAGTTGATGTAGACATACTCCAGCAAGGACAGGAACACAAAGAACAAGCACACGAGGATATAGATATCAATGGCCTTGATACAGGAAATGTTGGGGAGCTTATCCCGCAGATGTGAGTCGATGGTGGTCAGGATGAGCATTGAAGTTAGGCCTGTAAGCAACACAGTACAGGCTTAGTCTCCTCTGATGACTAAGATTCTTGGCAACCTATTGGGCCCACAGCCAAACATCGTATTTGGGATGAGGAGGGCCCACAGCAAAGGCCTTCAGCTCTCTCTTTATTCCTTTTCCCCCATCTTTAAACTCAGCCTATGCTTCAGTGGTTCAATGACTTCCTATTGCTCTTAGGGTCAAGTCTCAAACCTCCAGCCATGGCTTCATAGCAATTGACATCTTCAGCCCCACCTTGTCCTATGATGGCTCCTTTCCCTTTTGCCTTTCTTTAGTTATTGGGAAGGTTTTCTGAGCCCTAAACTATCACACAAATATAAAGCTTTAGTCCAGAATGTACTCCTAAAGAGGGAGGCTGAGGAGTCTGCCCACAGATGGTGAAGGAGAAACCAGACCTGGATCTGGGACACACTGACATTCTGCTGGGTGGGGCCAGACAAACCAGGGAGTTGATCTCTTAGGTCTCTTCTTGGTACTGCTCAAAAATTTTTCATGGCTCCCCATGCTTAGACATAAAGTACAAGGTCTTCCTAATCCTGACCAGGCTGTCTTTCTGCTGCTTTCCTCATTTCCTCAGCTCCTCTTTCAGACACCCTGTGATTTAGCCCGCTTTTAATGGCCCCTATGATCTAAACTTATGACTTGTCCATTTACTTATGGATTCAAGAAATAATGAATTCTGGTACTTAGGGCTCAACAGGCCAAGATTGCAACCTTCATTTTTTTTTTCACATCTGTCTCTAATGTTGGTCTCTCTATTGGGGATTGGCTGTGCACCTGTACGTAGGTACAAATGTCTATTGGAAAAATCCTTATTTCCTTGCCTGTGTAGTCACACACTGTTCCAGGTACTTTTTCCTTACTCTCAACTTTTTTTGAGCCAAATGACCCAAATTCCGTCCAGGGACAGAGACAGAACCTACCCATTGTCACCCTGGCTGCAGAGGAATCATAGTTCATCCAGAATGATATCCAAGAGGTAATAGTGGTGAGGACAGTAGGCCAGTAGACTTGCACAAGGTAGCTGTTAACTTCCCTCTGAACCTGGAACTTCAGTATCAGGCGTATGTAGGAACCTGGCAAGGAGACACGCTGGAATTAGGGTGGCAGGGCTGAGGGGCATTTGCAGGGTGGAGAGGTACAGGATGGAGAAGGAGGGGAGGAGGGGAGAGCAATGGGCAGTTCAGCTTGTAATACTCCATCCAGAGGCATCCAGCTTGGGCAGACCACGGATCTGGTTCTGTTTGTTGCACCAGCAGGTCAGTGACAATGGCATATCTCAGTAGGCGCATGAGCATAGCAAGTCTGCTCTCTCCACCTTCCTTTCTCACTTGCTCCATGTTAGGTGAAGTTTTGGAATGGGTGAGGCAAGAGATGTTCCCAAAGTGCAAGCAGATGGAGGGTGAAAGACCAGCCCTGAGAGGAGCATGAATCTTTTACACCTGCAGAGTGTTGTGAGCCTGGCTAAGTGCTTCCACAGCCATTCCTCATTGGCAGTGGATGAGCCACTGGGGCTTTATTAAGGGGGCCTGGAACCAGTAGGAAATGGAAAAGGAGGCATCAGAGATTAGGAGCCAAAATCAGAGGCCACTAGGAGTTTATGGAGGTGCAAGGGAGACATGAGACAGGAGAGAAGGAATGGGTCAGACCCACCTGTGTAGAAATACACCTCCTTGCTAGTAATCGTCCTCCCCAGGAAAGTGAACTGAGGGATATGCAGCTCCTCAGTCATGTGGATGGCGTTCCCATTGTCATCCCAGAATAATATGACGTCTTCAACTGTGTAACCATCTGGGAAGGAGAGAAACAGAGGTAGTCTCAGATTCTTAGAAAGAAAGAAAAAAGACATGCTACAAGCTCCTACCCACTAACTTGCACACACTTTCCCAATAGGAAGGTGACATTTTCCCAGAGGACCGTTTATGCTCTAAAGACCACCTAGTCCCAGATGCCATATTTATACATCTATCCAACAATAAATCATCTATCACCTATCTATCTCTCTACCATCTTTCTCTCTTATTTCTATCATCTATCTATCCTCTATCATCTATTTATTTTGGGAGAGAGAATGGAGGGAGGGAGGGAGCACAGGAGATACACTGTTCCTTTTACTGTCAATTTAGCCTCTGCTTCCCTGATCACCACAGCCCCAAGTAGGGAAGAGGGGGCCATAAGAGACATACGTACAGCTCTCCACCACCAGGTTGCAGGCCTGCTTGTCCATAGGGAATTTATGCAGATCCAGGGAACAGGCTGCTGTAGTGGTGAGTCTGCAAAGGAAAACAAAAAGGAAGGAGAAAGTGAGTCAAGCCTAGGCAAACAACCATTGCTGAGGAAACTGCAGGGGTGGGGAGGGAAGAGTTACCCTGAGGACTGACCCATGTGTAGAAAGGAGAGAGGAAATTTGTATGTGACAAAGTAACCAAGAGACCTGGCAGCACATAAACAGAGAACACATGTATGGCTGGCACATCAGAAAACTGCAGGGTGTCAGATGGGAAGGGCCCTGGAGGAAACTGAATGCAGAGATGGAAAGGGGTGCTTCCTATAGAAGGAGTGAGGCTAGCAAGAGAAAACTGTGCTACACCAAATCAGCTGAGACTCCAGATACAATGTGAAGTGCTGGTCTCAAGTGTGCATGTACATTTGGGAGCCTCAATCCAGGCCTGCCTCTGGCCACATCTGTACACAAGCCAGAGGTGCAGGCCTATGTGGGTATTGGGGACTAGCAAAATGTCAGCGGGTACGAAATGGACAGAAGGGATAAACATATCTGTGGTGGGCCATGGCACTGTTGACAGTACATGAAGTGGGCAGGAGCTTTAAGTTGCAACGTGGTGGGAGCATCCATAAGAAGAATCTGGCCAGGCGCAGTGGCTCATGCCTGTAATCCCAGCACTTTGGGAGGCCAAGGCAGGCAGATCAGGTCAGGAGATGGAGACCATCCTGGCTAACACAGTGAAGCCCCGTCTCTACTAAAAATACAAAAAATTAGCCGGGTATGGTGGCAGTCACCTGTATTCTCAGCTACTGGGGAGGCTGAAGCAAGAGAATTGCTTGAACCCAGGAGGTGGATGTTGCAGTGAGCCGACATCATGCCACTGCACTCCAGCCTGGGCAACAGAGCAAGACTCCATCTCAAAAAAAGAAGAAGAAGAAGAAGAAGAACCTGAGGGGGTCTCAGAGGTTCTGAGAAAGTGGGAGAAGTGTCCAGTGGGAGAGAAGATAAAACACAAGCTCTCTACAGCCTCAGCTGAGAGGTTCTGCCCCATCCCTTATTCTGCCCTTCTCATCTGCTAACCCCAGCTGAGTCCCTTTCAATTGCTTCCTTGAAATAACTTCCATTTTGTACACTGGATATGGTGTATGCGTGCACGTGTGAGTGCATGTGTGTTTTTCTCCCTTCTATGAATCCTCCATGTAGCATTATTCAGCTCATTCTTCCTTTAAGTAGAACAAGTGTGACCAGTGACCTGTTCCCTGTGAGTCTTGTTATTTTCTGATTCCAGAGCCTGGGTCTGTGGGAAAGTGGATGGAAAAAGAAAAGAACGGAGCAAGAGCTCCACAGAGAAAGAGAAACCCAGATTAGATCTGTAAAAACCATAAGAGCCGAACCTTGGTAGCTACTTCTCAGACACATTTTCTGAGCTAAACTGATCTCTTGCATATGTCTTTGGAGACAGTTTGTAAGAGATGCCACTGTGAGAACCCTGGTGACTGTCTCCTATGCTATAACTAGACTAGTGAGGAGTTTCAGCTTGCAATTGTTCTGTATGTATGGAGAGCCATAGACCAGAGACCCATGCCACACACACTCTGCCCCTCCGCACTCCTGGGGGCCCTGCATGATGCAAATATGACTGATGGCAGAAAGCAGGCCCCCTCATTCACTGCATGGACTTCAGCATTCATCTTCTCCCTCCCTCACTGCGTGGGAGAGAAAAGACAAAGATAAAGAACAGAATGCATGCAACACTAAGGTGGAGGAGGAAGTCTTTCAGTTGAGGGAATCAAGGAGGACTTCTTGACCAAGGGGGCATTTGAGTTAGGGATTTCAGGGTGGGCAAGGTTTCAATTCATGGAAAGGGGGAAAGGACTGACCAATCCAGACAGAAGGAACAGCAGAAACCAAGGTGTGGGGACAGAACAGCTAAGGGTGTCTATGGGAAACTGAAATTTCCACTTTGGCTACTAGGTCGAACAAGTGAAGGGGGAAGTTCAAGACAGGTTTGGAAAGCAGTGGGTGCCTTTGTGTGTCCCTTAGAGTGTGTTTGTAGAATATTCCGTAGGAAGAAGGAAGTCTGCTGGGACATCCCCAGACCCCTAGGGGACTCACCGGATGCCATACCGCACCGTTCCATCTGGGTGAAGCTGAAACACGTGATTTTCCACAGTCACATCATGCACGAAAGCATCCTTGCTATTCAGAAAGTAGCAGTCAGGGACCCACAACTTCTCATGCATCCGATAGTCCAGGGTCAAGTTCAGGGTGGTCTCATAGTATGCTAAGCGTGAATCTTTCCAAGTCTGATGAAAAAACATCGTGATCGTGTAGTCCTGGGAAGATAAATGTAAACCCCAGTTGTAAGTTTGGTTGTCCAGCGCTCCGTCCTTGGTGTGTGTAGGGTATGTGTGTATGTGTGCATGCACGTGTGTATGCAAGTGTATGAAGTAGATCATAACTATATACAAGTGCATGCAACATACAGATGTTTAAAGAAAGAATAAAATGTATCTTGTGTAATTAAAATCCAGGTTAAGAAACAGAATATTACCAATAACTTTCAAACCCCAATGTATCTCTTCTAGAATATATTTCCCTCACATCCCCAGCAGCAACCATTATCCTAGATTTTATGATAATTCCCTTGCTTTGTGTTAGAGTTTTATTGTCTATGTATTGCTGGAAAACATATTGCTTAGTTGGACCTGTTTTTAAAATTTTATCTGAATGAAATAATACTGTATGTATTCATAATTTGCTTCTTTCGCTCAACATTATCTTTGTGAGATTCACTCAGGTGGACATGTGTAATTATAATTTGTTCACTTGATTTTCTGGATAATATATGAATGTACCACACAGATTATCATGTGAATATGCATACCAAAAGCGTGATGAAATAAAAATGATGAAGTAGAAGTTCCACTTTATATCCCTGCCGAGAGCCAAGAGCCAGAAAGCTGCAGAGGGTTCCCAATGCTTCTGCTTCATCAACATTGGTATTGTCTAACTTTTGACTATTGCTAATCTGGTATGTAGTGGGTTCTCACTGTGGTTTTATTTTGCACGACTAACAAGGCTAAGCATCTTTTCATATGTTTCATATATTTACCTGCTGTTTAATTTTCTTCACAGAAGTGATATTCTTGTTCACATTTTCTGATAATTTTTCTATTGGTTTAAAAATATTCTCATTAATTCACAAAATGATGCATATTTTGAATATCAGTTCTTCATGCTGCATGTATCTTAGTCCACTGTGATTGATCCTTTCACACTTGTTATAATGGTTTTGTTTGTTTTGTAAAACAGGAGTTCCATAAATTTGGTTACACAGAATTTCAATGTAGTTGAAATTACTAGATTTATTTTGTGTGGTCTGTGTTTTCTGTGTCTTTTCAAAGAAATCGTACTGCAAGACACAAAGCCAGTGTTCTACACTATCTTAAAAGCTTCACAAGCCTTTCACTTTTAAGTCTATAATCCATCTGGAACCGAGTTTCTGGATGTGGTGTTGTGGAGGGGTTGAATTAATGTAGTTTTTATTCTGAGTGGCTGCAGTGTCCCAAACCAACCTTGTTCCTTTATGTGAGTTCTGTCACAGGTCAGAACAACTGGACTTGGATTATGAGCCTGCTCCTTGTTCCATGTCCTCTGTTCCCAACCCCATGGCTGGAACTAACACACTTACCATATTCATTTCTGAGATCTGTTCAATGCTGGTGACATAAATAGATATTCTCACAGGCACGGGGGCACCTAGAAGACAGAAAGACGCAATTACATGAAAGGTAGAATAAAGGTTAAGAGCATAAACTTGGGAGCCAGACTGCCTGGGTTTGAATCCTCTTTGACACTTGTTAGTTGTGTGATCCTGAGTAAGTCGCCTAACCCTGCTGAGTCTTAGTCTCCTCATGGGTAACATGGGGATAGTGATAGCGCTGATCTCATGGTTAGAGCGAGGCCTGGCCCACGATATGTGCAAAGGAAGGGGTCAGGGCAAAAGAAAGAGAACGTAAGGGGATGAAGCACTCCTTCGAAACGTTTTCCTGATAAAAACTGAAAAGCAATGAGCCCCAAAGCAGGGGCCAAGATTCATGGTTGTGTGTGCACATGTTTATGTGTGTGAGTGAATGTGTGAGCATGTTTGTGGGAGTACATGTGTGTGATTGTGTGAGCTGTGTATATCAGTATGTTCGTGCATGTGAGTGAATTTGTGTGTTCATGTGCAGGTGAATGTGCCAGTGTGTGTAAGCATGTTTGTGTGTAAGTGAATGTGTGAGCATGTTTGTGCTCTTGAGTGTGTTGTATGGAAGTAAATCTGTGAGCATGTGAATATGTGTAGGTGTGTTGTCGTGTGGGAGTGTATGATTGTGTTCATGTGCAAGTGAGGGTATGACCATGCATGTCTGTGAGCTTGTCTGTGTGTGAGAGTGAATGTGTGAACATATACATATGAGTTTATGTGAGGATGTCTGTGTGTGAATATGTGAGGGTGGTTTTGTGGGACTGAACCTATGAGCATGTCCATAAGTATGTGTTTGTGTGGAAGTGTGAGTGAATGTGTGAGTGTGTGCATGTATTAGGATATGTGAGCCTGTTCATGTGTTTGTGTATCTGTGAGTATGTCCATGTGTGAGTGAACGCATGCACATGTTCATGTTTGTGAACTAGTTGTGTTGACATAAGTGTACATGAGAATATTTGTGTATTGAGTGATGTGTCCACCTGTACTGGCATAGTCACGTATATGGAAGACTATATTAGCATGTTCGTGTATGTGAGAATGCTCATGTGTGAGTGAATGCAAGAGTGTGTGTGTAAGCATGTTAATGTCCATGCACCTATCAATACAGATGTGCGTATTTTCAGGTGAGTGAATCTGTGAGTATATTGTGAACACGTTCACGTGTGTGAGTGAATATGCGAGTGCTTTCATGTATGTGAGCATGCTCTTGCATGAATGAAGGTGTGATTATGTTTATGTGTGTGTGTGTGAGCATGTGTTTGCGTGTGAGGATGTTTATATGTGTCGTGTTTTTGAGTGAATTTGTGAGTGGGCATATTTGTGTGTGGGTGAATGTGAGTATATTCATATGTGTATGTAGATGTGGGAGCATGTTTGTGTGCATGTGTTAATGTGTGAGTGAATTTGAGTGTGGTATTGTATGTAACGTGTGTAGTAAATGTGTGAGTGTGTGTGTGTGAGCATGTTAAAGTGTGTGAATAAATTCGTGAAGGTGTTTGGATCTGTGAGCATGTTTGTGTGAGTGAATGTGTGTGCATGTAAGTGTGTTAATGTGAATAAATTTGCATGTGTTTGTGAGCATGTCTGAGTTTGAGTGAATGCGTGCATATGATCATGTGTGTATGTGGGCTTGTGTGTTTGGTGTATGTGAGCATGCTAATATGTGAGTAAAAGTGAACGTGTGATCATGCTCAGTGGGTGTGTCTATGTGTGAGAATGAATTTGTGAGCGTGTTCATGTGACTGGGTGAGTGCACAGGAGAGGCTAATTGTGTGTGTTAATGTGTGAGTGTGACAGTGTGTGAATGTCTGTGTTAGTGTACTTCTGCCTCCTAGCTTTTTTCACACCCAGGTGTTAGCACTGTCCACTTGCAGGACTCACATGTGTTCATGGATGTGAAAATATGTAGTAAACTGTAAGGCACTGTGGGCAAATGCATTTTTATTGTTCGCTCCTCAGCTCAAAGCTTTCTACAGCCAGTCCCACAGCAAAGCCCTTAAGTCTCCATGTATTACATCACACTGCTGCTAGGGAAACATGCATGATGCTTGCAATTCAGCCTGCTGGTTTTACTGCAGGCTGATTGCCCAGAAGCTGAGCTGCAAAGAGAGAAATGTGTTATTCCAAACCCAAAGCTTCACAAAGGAAAGCTCTATTGGGAATAAGCATCTGAATGGCAGCCGTGAAATAAATGAGCCTCTGTGTTAGGGTACAGCCCAGACTTCAGCATCCAGGCCTGTTGTGAACAAGCCCCAGAAAAGTGTTATGTGGTGACAGGAGTTCCGAGAAACACAGTTCTTGATGACTGCCTTTTGGGCTCCCCACATGCCTTTAGAGAAGGGAAGCTGTGTTAAGCAGGCAACAAGCTCCAGAGGGGCCAGGCAGCCAGCTACACCTCAGTGTTAGACTTCTCTAGACCATTCTGCATGATTCAGGCAACTCCTTTCCTTATGGTGGAATGCTGACGACCCCGAAGGGCTAGGCCAGAAACCTAGTTCAACTAGGACTCCTAGTTGAAAGGAAAGCGGGAGCTGAAATGCAGTTCACATTCCCCTCACCAAGCCATGAGTAGCACAGGGATGCAGCTCAGAGGAAGGCGACATTCTTCTAAGTTATCCCCTTAAAGGGGAACCTTTTGTGCTAGTAGTGGTCAGGATGAGAATTTAGATGAGTAATCCCATATCCTTAAATGGATAATGGGGGTGGGGGGCATGAGAAATGTCATATCCTTAAACGGATAGAGAGGTGGGGGTGGGGGTGGGGGATGAGAAACGTCCTGATAAGGAGTCCAAATACCACGTCTAGGATGGTGGCCCCAGTACATCACTGTCCCTCCCTGCCCCCTCAGGAAGGCAGGAAAAGTGGTGGGAGTAATCACCTCCCTTTCTCCTGGAACCTTTGCTGCCTCAACTCCTCTTCCTACCTAGCAGATGAATGAAGGAATGATGAAAATATCTCCTTCATTCCTTCACAACATGGGGTGCCTAAATCATGCCAGGTGCTAAGCTAGGTGAAGCCCTCAAGGGCGGTCTTTTGCCACAATGCACAGTCCCAGTTCTCTTGCCCAGAAGGAATTGGCTTTGTTAATCTTCTCTGGATCCTCCTCCTCCTTTTCATCCTCCTCCTCTTCTCATTGTCCTCCATATGCAAGGAAGGAATAAGGCTCTTGTTTGAACTGGACCACAGTGAAGTGAGGCCTCCGCATGTGGGGTATATGTGCGGAAGTGAGGGGAGGTATGCCCTGAAACTCTACTCCACATCTGACACAGGGGAATTTGACTCTGTGTCTAGTGGGGGAGCCCTGGAGTCCCCAAGCGCAGACTGCCTTGGCCCAGCTATCCCATCAACTGGTCTCTCCTCCCACACCCACCATGCAACAGCCTCAGACCTAAAGCCTGTGGTGCCCCCTTCTGTTTAAATGCTAGAAAGTCCTGAGTTTTCCTTGCCCTACTACCTTCATCTGGTTTGGCTAAATCAAGCCAGGGATCCAGTTTTTCTTACACGCTGCAGGTGTGCACGTCCACAAAGCTTAGGGTAACCCTCCCCAGAGACTGATTCTTGCCCCTGTTCCCTCCCCCGGCCCTGGATGCCTGCAGAGATGGCAACCTGGCCCTGAAACAGTGGGGAGAATGTGGTTGGTGTACTCAAATGGTTGTTGGTCAGCCTCTGCTGAGAAACGTGAGAAAGGCAAGACAAAAAAACGAAGTAGCTATTCCCATGTCACCCATTGGTGCTTGGTGCAACTAATCCAAAAGATCCCAAAGTCGCTGCCATACAAGGACGTGCTGCCTGTACTCTAACACTTGGATTCCCATATGGCCAGACCTTTATCCCTCGGGGACCCACCCAGAAGACACGCTGCTGTTTTTGCAATGAAAGAGCCTGCCTTCTGGCCTTTCTATCCTAGCTTCCCAGTATGCTCTCAGCTTTAATCCCTCGGGCTGTGCCTTCTGCTCTCAGACTCTGGAGGGAGCAAGGGAGCAAAGGGGGAAGCACCAGTTCAGGGTCCCACCTCCGAAGCTGAGGGCCCAGGGCTACCACCTTGGTTTTCCCGGTGGCGCTCCCCAGACCAAACTGGTCTACCCAGGGGCCGAATCCTCTCAGCTGTGTTTTCTTAGGGTGGAGACAGAGTGTATTTGGAAGACCTCTATTCATATGCATAAATGCAGATCATTAGCTTTCATTAACCCTTTAGAGTGGGAGCTTCCTTTGAGCTGGAATGTAACTAACCTCTTTTTAATGGACCGTTTCTTTTGTTTGTCCTTGATCTAGGTTTTCTAGGTGTCCCCTGGGCTACGGAATGCTGCCGTTGCTATGCGGGGTCAGGGTAGGTTGCCTGTCGCTTAAAGTTGTGTGGTCCAGGCTAGTCGCCCTTTTTAAATGGGAGGCTAATTACGAAAATGGGGGAGGAACTGATGTATGATTTTCCTGGGGGGTTGTGTGTCAGTTTCTTTGTCACTTTTAATTTCAGCACCAGAGATCTGAGTAGTAGGCTGAGGAGTTTGGATTTTATTTGGTAGTTAGATAAAACCATTAAAAGTTCCTGAGGTGATCTATCTGGGTTTATAAAGACCACACTGACTGCGGTGTCTTGAATAGACTGGGAATGAGGGAGCTGAGGTGGAAGTGTCCAGTGCCTGGGTGAGTTAAGTACACTAGACAGAAAAGACCATGCTCTCAGTTTTGAACTGGCTGAATGGGACAAGTGCCCAGGGTGTGAAGAATGTGCTCAAGTAGAAGAATATGTGTCCTCCCAGGAGCTGGAGCAGAAAACTCTAGCCTGAGAAACACGGCATGCTGCATCCTGTACACCCATTTCTGTGCTTCGCTCTTTGCCAGCCACACCATTGTAAGGGGAGTGTGGAGGAGGTAGAAGGCCCTCATGTATCTGAAGGCAGAGAAGTGAGAGATATTACAGGGTGCAGAAGGCCTGGGGGTGCTTCCTTGCTGGTCTCTGCAGAGTCAGGAAGATGGGATCTGGAGAGGCACAGGTGTAGAGCCCACCGGGTACCACTGGTCAGCTTACAGGGCAGGGCTGGCTTGCTGTGTCTCTGCTTTAGGACACCTAACCCAAGTTCTCTTGTGTCTGGATATGGCTTACCTCCAAAATTCGGTCTCAGGCGGACATCGTATCTCGACAGCACCCTGTCCAAAATCTTTTGAACCACAGCTTCATTTGCACAATTTTTGCTGAAACAGAGAAGTCATAAGTAAATGCTGGTCGATTTGGGGCCGACTTGCCAGTGGTTGCCTTGCTAGGGCCTTCTCTTCTCCAGCACATACGCAGACATGTCCAGTCATATGTGTACACACTCTCTCTCCCTGCTCCCCTCCCTCCCCATGGTGAGTCAGCCAGAAGCGCAGTGGTGACGCAGACTCCTCTTCCCCCCTATCTTCCCAGCTTTAATCCAGAGGGTGGGGCTCAGAGACTGGATCCCTGTTACCAGGCAGGACTTGTGGGGGTTGAAGAGAGGAGGCGGTAGGAGAAGGGGAGACAAAGAAGAGTGGGCAGATGAAAGCCCTCAGAAAAATGCATTACCTCAGCCCCCTCAAGAGCCCCATCTTGCAATCAGCCTGGGCGCTGTTTTCTAGGTTGGTGGGGGTCCTCCCTCCAGGGGCACCTGCTTGCCCCAGGAAAAGTCATCTTTCACTCTCAGTGCCCTCGTAAGATGAGCTCAAAGTCACATTTTCCCTTACCTGGGCTAGGGCTGGGCATTTTTTAGTCACTTTTATGTCAACCTTGTTTCTGTACACCTCTGTTTTCCAGACTTGGCATATGGCATAAGACACACAGAGAGAGCCTTGCTGGTGTAGCTGAGATTTATGACCCTCATCCAACCAAACCATTTCAGATTCTTGGGGCTCAGAGCTCTCCTCGGAAAGACATCTATTCTGGGAGCAGGTATCTCTCTTGCTAAGCATGTGCTTCCACCCTGGAGGTGTCTTGGGTGAGCATAGGTAAGTGGACCCACCCCAGCTCTGCGGAGAGCTGACCTTTCCAGAGATCTCTGACATGCTCACCCAATTCACCTAGACCTTCAACAGGGCTCCTTCCCCAACAGGGCTTGTGAATCAGAACAGGCCCCGGCATCACTGTGACTCTTCGAATCTTTGACGCATTGCCCAGGGAACGTCAGCCCCTGCAAATGTGTGTGTGTGTGTGTGTGTGTGTGTGTGCGCGTGCGCGCGCGCATGTGTGCATGTTCACTGGCGCAGTATGGTATGTTGGGTTGAGGGCACTGCAGGGCTGTTTGCTGGAACCTTGCCAAACTAACACCACCACCCCCCCCCCCGCCTTTTATGAGTACATGTTAATTTCTGGCTTGCCATTTAAACATTGTTAAAAATTACTCCTAATCATCTTTAATCAAAAATTTCATTTTGCAACATTCCAAAATGTGTACATGAATTATTCCCAAATTAAAGCAATGCATTCCCACCTGTTTCCAAGCACACATTACCCATGTGCCAAAGCTCAGGATCTGTGGCCACCCCAAATACACATTTCTGTGTGATTTACATGTAAAGGCTTCAGATATTCGCACATCCAAACAAACTTGAAATCAAAATGAGAAAAAAACCGGAATCTTCAAATATTTTCACACGACTAAGTACAAAAGCATACCCATCCCAGACCACACGATTCGTGGTTATTCAGACACGATCGCACTGTCTGGGCTCCGATGGGTTTGAGTTAATCAATTCTATCTGCCGCATTGGAAAGAGTCCTTCACCCCCTCAACACATGCATGCACGCGCGCGCGCCTCAGGGAATGTACTAAAATGTAGACTCAAACAGGTGTCTCTCCTATGTTTTGTGAATTGCCCATCATCCTGTACCCTCCTCCCCAATCCCACAGGTGCCAAAGCTGGGGAAAGCTGCCGGGAACCTTAAATCCTTGGGGATGGATAGGCAGATCCTGGGACGAGGGCAACTCCCGCCCCCACCCCTCGGGCTGCGGTTTGGGCACACGCAGGGCTCAGTCAAGCTCCGCAGTAACAGGTGGGCGGAAGCACAGGGCTCCATTTCAACACCCCACTCCCACCTCACCCCTTCTAGGGGCCAATAGGCAGGGCCCGGGCGCCAGGGCTCAGCGACCCCGGGTCCAAGTCCCCCCCAGCCCGCTCCGTCCAAGAGGCCAGAGGTCATCTGCCCGTCTCCATTCCCGTCCCCGCCATGCCTAGCCTGGCGGTGCCCGCTTACCAGTTGAAGAGGTTCAGGACGACTTCGGGCACAGCGGAGGAGAACTCGAAGTGGAATTTCGGGATGGGACTGGGGTAGTTGCCCTCCGCGAGCCAGGTCCTGATGAGCAGCAGGATCACTGCGGCTCGCAGCATGCCTCGGATACCCATGGCTGGGGCGTTCTGGGCGCCTAAAGGCGCGGGAGATGGGGCCTCGAAAAGCGACAGAGGTGGGGTGGGGAGTGGATCACTACTGGGGCCGGGGAAGGCGGGATTGCTGGCCCTTCCCCAGAGTCGCCTCTACGGAGAGAGCAGCGAGGGCAAGGGAAGTAGGGGTTGCGGGGGTAGGCCCGGATACCGGAGGTGAGAGCCCGGGAAAAGCAACCACCCAGCAGCTCTGCCGGACGCAGCTCCCCCCAGGGCGCGCCCGGCA